CAGGGACTTCCTGAAGCTATTTTGTGTTGTTAGCTTTCTGTCTGAAGGAGCTTCCTGAGTGATGAAGTGTTTCTTGGTCTGCGAGGAAACAGCTGCCCAACAGCTTATCATACAGCTCAATTGATAGAATTCTGGTCTACCATACATGAAATTCTGGGTTCAGTTCCTCAGCATCACATAAGTCTGGGTGTTAGACCGGGGCGTTGGTGGCAGCCTTTAATCCCAGCACTCGGGAAGCAGAGGCAGGTGGATCTTTGTGAGTTCTAGCCCAGCCTGGTCTACAAGAGCAAGTTCCAGGACAGGCTCCAAAGCTACAGAGAAACCCTGTCCTTGAAAAACCAAAAAAAAAACCAAACAAACAAACAAAAAAGACTGGGTGTTATGGCACACAACGGTAATCCCTTCCCAACAGTCTGGAAGTAGAAGCTGGAGGATCAGAAATTCAAGGTCATTCTCCACTACTTAATGAGTTCTGTGAGCTGCATGAGACCCTGCTTCAGAAAAAACAGTAACAAAAATGGAATAGTTGGTCTTGGCATCATATGCTTATAATCACCATAATCACAGCATTCAGTAGGCTGAGGCAGAAGAATTCCAATCTGAACGTGGCCTACAAAGCATTCTCCGGCTTAGCCTGTGTTATGTAATGAGATCCTGCCAAGAAAGCAAAAATTGGAGAAAACCAAAATAGAACATTGATCATAAGCAGGGTGGCCAGATCCTACTGTGAGAATGCGTGTTCTAGCTTTCTGGAAGCTTAGGTGCCTGAGGTACTCTTGGTTTAAATGTAGGCAGGCAGAGGGCGTTTACCAAGATGAACAAAGGATTTGCAGATGGAAGCCGCAATTAACCAAAAGTAAACAGAAACTGGAGGGAAAAGATTGTCCCAGGGGCTGGAGAGATGGCTCAGAGGTTAAGAGCATTGCCTGCTCTTCCAAAGGTCCTGAGTTCAATTCCCAGCAACCGCATGGTGGCTCACAACCATCTGTAATGGGGTCTGGTGCCCTCTTCTGGCCTGTAGGCATACACACAGAGAGAATATTGTATACATAATAAATAAATAAATATTTTTTTAAAAAAAGAAAAGATTGTCCCAAACAGTTAGAGAATTAAATTAATGACTTGGTGGCAGAAATCACTCTAAAAGACAGACAGACCTGTTGTATAATGGGTGTGGGTGTTCACGAAAGTCCATGGAAGAAGTACAGAGGCACAAGGATGATTTTAGCCTTTTGCAACTCCGGGGTGGTTTGTCTCTAGGACCGAACCGCTTTCTCTTAAACCTGGGATTCTTTATTGTTCTTCAGTTTACACCTTAGCAAGTTGATTTCCATATCCCTAAAACATCTTAATTAAGCTTCCAAAGGGACAATGCCAAATGTAAATTCTTTTTTTGTTGTTTTGTTTATTGCTTTTTCGAGACAAGGGGTTTCTCTGTAGCTTTGGTACCTGTCCTGGAACTAGCTCTTGCAGACCAGGCTGGCCTCGAACTCACAGAGATCCGCCTGCTTCTGCCTCCCGAGTGCTGCGATTAAAGGCATGCGCTACCATCGCCCGGCTCGCTCCAAAAGTAAATTCTTGATTAGTAATACAGAGGTTGTCTGGTTCCTTTTAACCAAGGTGTAAATCCGGTCTCGGACCTCCATCTTTGGAGGCCCCGCCCCTGTGCCTGCCAAACCTTGACCACTCCCCCCAATCTATTTAAACTACTACCCGGAAAGTCTCCATGTGCCCCACCCACACTTTCTGTGGTCGCATTTGTGGCTTCGCAGTTCCCCCTCGGGGTCACCCGAGAGCGCAGAAATCCCATTAAACCTGGATATTCTTTAATTTGGCTGGTTGTCATTTGGCTTGATTGGGATTTTGCAGCGGCAGAGAGAGAGCTCGTGTTGTAAAAATTTCTAACACAAGTTTTTTTTTGTTTGTTTGTTTGTTTGTTTTTTTCTTTCCGAGACAGTGTAATAGTCCTAGCTGTCCTGGAACTCGATTTGTCCTCTAACTCAAAGAGATCCGCCTGCCACTACCTCCCAAGTGCTGGTTGGATTAACGATGTAGGTCACCACTGCCCTGGCTGACAGTTCTTGTACTAGTATGGCCACAGGAGACGACACAGAGGATGGTTGGATGCCACTGTCAGCCAACAATCTCCTTTCATATTACACACACACACACACACACACACACACACACACACAATCTCCTATTTATTTAGTCTCTGGAGAATGCCTGCTAATACAAATAGTGATAAGGCGGGTCACTGAGGGAACGTTTTTTAACCCTGCCCCTTCATTTTGCTTGTTGAGATGATTCATATACCTCAAGCTGGCCTGGAACTTACTATAAGTCAAAGATGAACCTGAACTTCTCACCTTCCTGTTTCTGCCTCTCCAGTTCTGAAATTGTTGAAGTGTACGTTCATGCTCAGCTAAATATTTGCTTTTTTCTTTGGGTAAATCAGTTACATGGGTAGATCAGTTTAGAAAAATCCTTCAAGTTAAAGTATTTAGTTTATGCACTTCGTGTTAGCGATGGTTAGCGCCCCCCCCCCCAGGGTTTCTTTGTAGCGTTGGTGCCTGACCTGGAACTCACTCTATAGACCAGGCTGGCCTCAAACTCAGAGATCCGCCTGCCTCTGCCTCCCAAGTGCTGGGATTAAAGGCGTGTACCACCACCACCCAGTTGTGATGGTTAGTCTTTGTCATTTTAGAATTAGCTCTCTGAAAGTTTCTGAATTAGGTTATTTGAGATATGAAAAACCCACCTTATGGGAGAGTTGTACCATTCTATGGACAAAGATCTCAGACTGAATGTAACAGTGGTTCTCAGTCTTCCTAATGCTGTGACCCTTCAATACAGTTCCCTATGTTGTGGTGACCCCAAACCATAAAATTATTTCTATTGCTAGTTCCTAACTATAATTTTGCTACTGGTATGAATCTAAATGTAGCTATCTATGCTTTCTGATGGTCTTAGGCAACCCCTGTGAAAGGGTCATTTGACTCTCCAAAAGGGCCACAGCACACAGGTTGAAAATTGCTGGAATAAAAGGAAAGTGCACCGAGCACTGTAGTGTTCAACACTCCGCCCCACTGCAGATGCAGAGTTACCACGCCTTCTCCACAGGAAGGAACTGTAAGCTGAAACAAACTTTCCCATTCGTAAGCTGCTTCTAGTTACAGCAACAAGGCATGTAACTCAGAAAATTAGCAGTGACAAACTTGAACATGTTTTGGAACTGGTTTAAAAGGATTGTAGAAATAGAGCTAGTGGGAGCTCACTGACCCTGGACAGATGGAGAAGCAAAAGAAGACCAAACTAGGCCCTTTGATGTGGGTGACAGTGGTGTGGCATGGGCAGTTTGTGGGGTCACTAGCAGTGGAACCAGTATTTATCCCTAGTGCATGAACGGGCTCTTTGGAGTCCATTCCCCATGTACCTTGCTCAGCCTTGACAAAGAGGAGGGCCTTGGTCCTGCCTCAAGTGATGTGACTTTGTTGACTTCCCATGGGAGGCCTTACCCTTTCTGAGTGTTAAGTTGGGAGTGTAGTCCCCACTTCTCCTCACCTCCCGTTTCCCTCTCTACTCTTTTCCCCACTTTCTCTTTCCCCTCCATAACTCACTAAATAAATACCCACTTCCTCTGCATGTCATGCCAACCCATCTCAGTCTCTCACCCACCATGCATCTCTGTGCCTAGGACCTGCTGGCGCTCATGGCCCGTGGGACTACTGTGGTCTCAGGACCCACTGCCTGCTGCCTCTTGTAGACCTGTGGCGTGATCTCATGGCCCGTTGCCCACTGCCACCACTCAGGGATCTGCAGCGTTTCTGCCACTGCACCCCTCAGAGATCTGCAGCATTTTACTTAAACCATAACAGTCACCACACCAGGCTTTCTTTTTTTTCGTTTTTATTTTTATTTTAATATTTATTTATTATGTATACATAATTCTGTCTGTGTGTATGCCTGAAGGCCAGAAGAGGGCATTCTGGCCACCAGACCTCATTACAGATGGTTGTGAGCCACCATGTGGTTGCTGGGAATTGAACTCAGGACCTTTGGAAGAGCAGGCAGCGCTCTTAACCACTGAGCCATCTCTCCAGCCCCTTTTTTTTTCGTTTTTAAAACAAAACTTGTTCTCAACTTACCTGATATTGTTACCCTAACAATATGTTTCCTAAAACTGTATTTAAGGTTTGCTAAGTTTGAATAAAAATGCCCTCTTAGGTTCATAGGGAGTAGCAATATTATGAGGTGTGGCCTTGTCAGAGGAAGTGTGTCACTGGGGGTAGGCTTTGAGGTTTCAGATACTCAAGGCAGGTCCAGTGTGTCTCATTCTCTTCCTGCTGCCTGCTGATCTGGATGTAGAACTCTCAGTTACTTCTTCAGTAGCGTGTCTGCCTGCACCCTGCCATGCTTCCATGGTAATAATGTACTAAGTCTCTGAAACCATAAACCAGCTGCAACGAAATATTTTCCTTTATAAGAGTTGTCACTAGGCATGGTGGTGCATGCCTTTAATTCCAGCACTTGGGAGAGACAGGCAGATCTCAGCGAGTTCAAGGCCAGCCAAAGCTGCTACACAGAGAAACCCTGTCCTGAATGCCCCTCCCCTCCAAAAAAAAAAAAAAAAGGAAAAAAAAAAAAGCTGCCATGGGCAAGGTGTCTCTTCACAGCAAGAGAACACTGACTAAGACACTAAGTAAATCAAATTATGTGAACACCCCCTGGAGCATCCCACTCACAAAAGATGCAGCTGGACTGGAGAGAAGACTCAATGGTTAAGAGTTAAGAGCACTGGCTGGTCTTCCAGAGGATAGTTCAGGTCTCAGACATCTTATAACTGCCTGGAACTTCAGAGGATCTGAACCCTCTGGCCCCAAAAGGTACCTGCACTAACAAGTACATACCCACACACAAACATGCATATATACATTTTAAAAAAATAATTTTTTAAAGATGCAGCTATTTTTAAAATTGAGACAAAATATGATAAAAAATAAACAACAAAAAGTGTGTTTAATTAACTAACAACAGAGAAAGCTGGTAAAGAAATGCAGGTGAATTTGGTCAAGTAAGAATTAGAACCGAGGAGCTCCATAATCATCTGGCATCCGTTCGATGTTGTATCTGGTCAGGAAGGAAAGTAGACACTGTTAAAAAAAGAGGTATGGTACAGAATTCATCTGAACCCATCTGAGTCACCCCCACCCTTTACTCTCAAACTTTATCGGTGGTAACTATTTTAGAGGGACCCCACAATGAATGGCTTATAACAAAATGCTGACTATATTACCTTCGTTCTTCAAAGTCATAGCATTGGCAAGGGACAACTAGGACCTTGGGTCCAGGTGAGCCTAAATCAGCCCATATTTTTACTGTGCTCTCCCCGAATGGAAAAGTTTGGCACAGTAGTATTTATAGGGCAGACAGGGGAACATCCAAAAAGAATAAAGAACTGTTTTATTTATTAAAATAAACATTTAGTTTCCAAGATGAGGTGTTAATAAAATATTCTCTCTCTCTGAGATGGCCTCAAATGCACTGAGTAGCAAGAATGATCTTGAATTTCTGGTGACTATTTTCAGTGTTGGGACTATAGGTATTCTACCATGGCCAGTTTTATTCCATGCTGAAGATCAAGCACCCCACAAAAATCTTACAAAAAGGATGAGCTTGACTTAAAATAATGTTTTATAGAAAGTAATACATGCACTTCTAGTAATCTTATTTTACCAATTTGATGTTTGTTTCATTCCTAAATCTTATCTTTATCTTCTGCCCTTATTCTTGCTATTGTTTCATTTTTTCGACTTTAAATGTAAACAGGATAGTGTCACTTCTTTGAAATCCTCTGTAACTTTATAACCTGCTCTCACAGTAACCGATGACCAACTATGTGCCTCTAGTCACTTTCTAATAGCAACCTCTCACCTATGGTTAGAAATATACATGATAGGAACTCCAGGGATCTTCCGGATTCTTCGTTTGAGGTCCCGATCAACTGTAGCCACAATGTAACACTTGTGCTGAGAGAGAAAGTCCACTGACGTTTACAAAAGACTCACAGAGTATCTCCACACACAACCACTGAATAGTACCCCATTTTCACAGTAACTAACAGAGGATAGGATGCTAAGACCTAGGAAAGAGTTACACAATAACAGATGTAAGCTACCTGGCCTCAGTGTGGTCTTAGGAATCTTGAGGGGAAGAAAGAAAAAAGTGTTTAAGCTGCAAACTGTTTTCTGTCTCACACTTGGGAGGGACTGCCACAGTTAAGGCAGACTAAGAATTCCTTAGTTTTGGGAAAACATGCTAACTGACTCCATGTAAATGCCTTATATTGGAGGGCACAGATCTCCTTATATTGGAGGGCACAGATCTTCCTTCCTTGTGACTCAGGGATATGTTGAAGTTCTTTAGCGGTTTAAGTAGGCAGGTCCTGGGCTAGGAGAAGGACCTCTAAGATTCAAAACCCCAGTTTAGCTTAACATTAACTACCAGCTGGAAACTATTTTGTTATAGTTTACTTCATATAAAAATCTCCATTATGCCAGGCAGTGGTGGCGCACGCATTTAAGCCCAGCACTCGGGAGGCAGAGGCAGGCGGATCTCTGTGAGTTTGGGGCTAGCCTGGTCTACAAGAGCCAATTCCAAGACAGGCTCCAAAGCCATAGAAAATCCCGGTCTTGAAAAACAAAAATCAAACAAACAAAAACAATGCTGTGCGGTCAATGGAGGGAGGAAAGAAATCTCTGCTTGGTGGTGGTGGTGCACGCCTTTAACCCCAGTACTTGGGAGGCAAAGGCAGGTGGATCTCTGTGAGTTCAAGGCCAGCCTGGTCTACAAGAGCTAGTTCCAGGACAGGCTCCAAAACTACAGAGAAACCCTGTCTTGGGGTGGGGGGGAGTCTCCATTGAGTTTTATAAAACTTTATCATTGAGGTGGAGGTTGTGCTGTGGCCCCATCTAGGGATCAAGTTGTAAAAGGGCAGAGTGGTCATTAAAGAAGATGGTCATCTTTAGCAAGAGCCAAATTCTTCCTCTCTTCATTCTATCTCTGCAAGTGTCAGGTTCCCCCCCCTCCCTTCCTGTCTTTCTCAGTGCTGGGGATCAAATCCAGGACCTGATGCAGACTAGGCAGCACTCTATGACTGAGTGACACCTCCAGTCTGTGAAAGGTTCTTAAGGGTACAACCAATAGCAGATGATCTGCATTGTTTGATGAGCAGTTCAGAATGGAAGAATTCAAAAAGTAATTAATCCAGCGTATGTGAGAGATAGCACCTGGGAGATTCTCAGACTTAATTAAGAAGACATTTCTGAGTTAGGTACGGTGGGAAGGAACATCATTCCTTCATGGGGTGGAAATGGAACCTTATTTAAGATTCACAGAGTAGTAGAATGTGATATATTATTGTAGCTACATGAATTCACTTAAAACACGTTATAGAGAATTTGTGGACTAAAGATCCAATCATTGTCCCAAATCACATACTAAATTAATGTAGTTGTGGGAGTTGTTTTTGTTTTGCTTAAGACAGGGTCACACTCTGTAGTCCTGGGCGGCCTAAAACTCACTATGTAGATCAAATTGGCCTTGAACCTTAAACAGAGATCCATTTGCCTCTGCTTCCAATCGGTAAGATGCTGAGATTTGAAATCAGACTTCCCTCTCAAGCACATGCTCCTCCCATTATGGTTACTGCACAGTTTTTTTAGATCTACTTTTTCAAGTAAGTGGTATCGTATCTACGCTGATTATGAACAATTGCTAAATACATATAAAGATATATATGCACATATTTTTCATATATATGTCATAAATATATATTTTCATATATGTATCCATGAAAAACCCACCCTAAGTACCTTACTAAAGCTGAATATTCAGAAGGTAGGTAATAATCTGTGCCCCCCTTTTTTGGGGGAATTCTCATTGGATAGCTAGAACTGGTTATGTAGACCAGGATGAACTTAAACTTAGAGGTCTACCTATCTTTGCCTCTCTACCTCACCCAACTAGTGCCTTTTTTCCTTCCAAAAATATATTTATTTATTTATTTTAAAAAAATATTTATTTATTTATTATGTATACAATATTCTGTCTGTGTGTATGCCTGCAGGCCAGAGGAGGGCACCAGACCCCATTACAGATGGTTGTGAGCCACCATGTGGGAATTGAACTCAGGACCTTTGGAAGAGCAGGCAATGCTCTTAACCTCTGAGCCATCTCTCCAGCCCCCCAAAAATATATTTATTTATTTGTGTGTGTATGTGTGTGTTTAGCGTATATGTATGCAACATGTGTGTGCAGGTGTCTGCAGATGCCAGAAGAAGGCATCAGAACTGGAATTACAGAAAGTTGTGAGCCACCTGATGTAAGTGTTGGCTTCTGAATCTGGGTCCTCAGCAAGAGCAGCAAGTACTCTTGATCACTGAAACACCACCTCTTCAGCTCCAGCTTGTCACACACACCCCCTTTTTTCTTTCTTTTGGTTTTTCAAGAACAGTTTTTCTGTGTAACTTTGGCTGTCCTGAACCTTGTTCTGTCTGGTCCCAAACTCACAGAGATCCACCTGCCTCTGCCTCCCAGGTGCTGGGATTAAAGGTGTGCACCACCACTGTCCAGGTTTTTTTTAAGCACAAAGTAAACATTTAAAAAGTGATGCTGATACCTGAGTGACTCTCTGTACCAAGCAGTCATCAGCATAGGTTCCTTTGTGTGTGCACGGAAGTCGGTCAAATCGTGGATCCTTGGCGATTCTACAGGATTATAAAAGTGAATTAAAGAAAACGTTCTCCATCCAACCAGTAAACCAAAGGGAACATATCTATGTGGGCATTATGAGGTACCCTCTCGCCACTGAAGCTTATGTTTTCATTTTATGAGGAAAGAAATTACAATCAGGAGCTGATAGCGTTTGAGCTCATTTACTAAACAAACTCTTGGGTATCTGTATTTCTGTTTTACAAAAGAGGGAAAGAGATTCAGATATTAATTTGCTCAAACCTACAGAGTTAAGAAATTACAGGATTGAAAATCAAATCCATTTTAGGAAGTTGTCTTACACAAATATACTGCAAGACAGGCACAAAAGGATAATCACTATGGCACAGCCCATCAATATGAAGGCGCAATACATTTTTCTATGCCTGTCTGATTACAAGAGAGAGAGAGAGAGAATTGAAGATATGAATATAGGAGAACCTTTGCTAACCTGCTGAATAACACAGGCTAGTTAGTGAACTGTATGTGTGGGTATGTGGGTGTAAGATCCAGTAAAAAAAGAAAAGAGATGAGTTTTCCTGGAACTTTCTAGATTTGCATTTACATAGGAAGTGACCTGTGAAAAAATTCACTATTCCTTTTCAGCTGTCATTCTCATATGAGAACAAGCAGTGTGACGTGGAGAAAGAGTTACAGGCAGTTTTGAGTGTCCAATATGAGTAGCAGGAACTGAGCTGAGGTCCTCTGGAAAAGCAGCAATGTTCTTAACTATTCCGCCATCTCTCCAGCCTCTTTTATTTTATTATTTATATAGGTTTAAACTAAGTGGCCAGGAAATCTTTGACTAGCAAAGAGATGAGGTGTTCTGAAGTATCTTCAGTATACCAAGGTACAGTAGATCTACGTCCTTCCTACCTTAGTGCCACTCGGTACTTCTGGCCCAATTTCTCAATTTCAGCCATCACACAATCAGTTATACAAGGGATACCTGCAAGGAACAAACAAACACAGCATAAAAATTAGTAACAGAACTTATAAAGATATCAGCTGAAATATATTTATTTCAGTCTGTAAAAATCCTGCAGACTTCTACAATGACAACAGACTAAGTCGACTGAAACAATCAGTAAGAACTAAAAGAAGAGTTAGGGATGTCGACAAAGGCTTGTGATCCTAGCTTCTCCAGATACTGATACAGGAGGATTAAAAGTCCAAGGCCTGCATGGACTAGGAGCTCAAGGCCATTCTGGGCAATTTGGTGAGACCCTGTCTCAAAACAAAAAGTAAAAGTGGGCTGGCTAATAGCTCAGTGATACAGTGCTGGCCTAACAGTCAGGAGGTCCTAGGTTCAATCCTCAAAACGTGGGGCTGGGGTGGCACATGGGAGCGATGTACATCTACAATCTGAGCATTTCAGAGGTAGAAGCAGAAGAGTCAGTAGCCCAAGGTCATCATGAGTTACACAATGAATTCTAAGCCAGCATGGACCACATGAGATTCTGTCTTAAAACAACAAACTCCTCCATATATATGTATATGAATAAATATATAAAATTTATTTATATATATTAATATATAAATAAAATTATATATTAAACAGAATACTATGTAGCTTAAAAGGATGACAACCATCTACATATACAAAATAAAGCTTATTATTTAATGCAAAACCCAAGAACAGGCAACTAAAATGTGACTGCTACACACAGGAGGCATGATCAGAAATGAAACAGTATGTCTATGTGATCCTTGACAGCATCATGCTGAATGAAAGAGAGTCACATCAGAGGCTTATACGTATGAAATGTCCAGAACAGGCAAATCTATAGAAACAGAACTAGACTAATGTCACTTAGGGGTAGGGAAAATGAGGAGCACTGCCCATTGTGGGGCGTAATAACTGAAGATACCGGAGGTTCTTGGAGCATACTTCCCTACTCCATTGCAGGCCCTATGCCCTCAGGGTTACATTACTGTGAAATTAGTCTTCAAGCACATATGGCCTTCTGGTTCCATAACCATCTAATTTCATTGACCTAGCATTCTCTTCATTTAAATTTACTTTTAGTATCCCCCCCCCCCAGTCTTTCAAAAGCATTACTATATATTTAAAATTTTAAATTATCCAAGTGGTGGTGTATGCACTTTTAAGCCCAACACGAGGGAGACAGAGGCAGGCAGATCTCTGTGAGTTCAAGGCCAGCCTGGTTTATAAGAGCTAGTTCTAGGAAGGCTCCAAAGCTACAGAGAAACCCTGTCTTGAAGGAATCTGGTCTCTCCTTCCAAAATGTGGGCTCCTGGGCTCAAACTCAGGAGGTTTGGTGGAAAGTGCTGAGCCCTCCTGCTGGCCTTCGTATACTTAATTTTTTAGTATCTTTAAAAAAATATTTATCTAACGTGTATGAATGTTTTGCCTATATATATGTGCAATCATGCACATGCCTGGTGCCTGTGGAGGTCAGATGAGGACTTGGAATCATTGTAAGCCACCATGTGGGTCCTGGGCACTGAACCTAGCTCCTCTGCAAGAGTAACAAGTGCTCTTAACTGCTGAGATATCTCCAGCACAACCTGCCACTCCCAGCAGTTTTACTTAAATTTTGTTTGTTGTTGTTGTTGAACAGCCCATCTCATATTAGACTTAAAATGTCTATCATCCACATTGAAAATAGGTATGCTGTTGCCTGGGCTTGCCTACTTACTTACTTATTTATTTACTTACACATGCAGAGAGGATTCAGTATAATTCTTTGGAGGCCTAGGACTTTCTGGAGTGTGGTGGGGTAGAGCTGGAGAGCAAATCCAGAGATCAAATGCACACTATGCAAGTGTTACACTCAGCTGGACTTCCAGTTCCCACTCCTGCTTTCTTTCCAGTTCCCTTTCTTTTGGCTGAGGTTTCTTTGGTTTTGTGTTTTAGTATGTGTAATACTGGGTATTAGACGTGGGGCATCACATGTGCTGGGCAAACACCCTACTACTGGGCTCTATTTCTGGTCTGGATTTTATAAAATGTAAATAAGAACTAGCTTTAGCTTAAAGTCACCAGTCATGATGCAGGATGTTCTTCTGTATATGTGTTGCTTTTATTGGTTGATGAATAAAGCTTTTTGGGCCAATGGCTTAGCAGAGTAAAACCAGGCAGAAAATCTGAACATAGAGAGTAGGCAGAGTCAGGGAAACACCATGTAGCTACTGAAGGAGAAGGATGCCACCGGAAGTGTAAGCCACAGCCTTGTGGTGATACAGATGAATAGAAATGGGTTAATTTAAGATGCTAGATCTAGGAATAGGCCTAAGCTGTTGGCCAAGCAGTGCTGTAATTAAAGTAGTTTTTGTGTGAGTACTTGGGTTAGAAGACCAGGAAACGAATGAGCAATCTCCGTTTACAAATAAGCAACACATATACACAGGGACATCCCACATTACAGTCACATTAGCCACTAAGCAAGATGTCCTTTGAAGCCAGTCAGTGACTCTCTGCTCTAGGTGTGCAAGTCTCAGTATGGTCTTTCAGTATAGGATGTATTGTACACTGACCTCCGCCGTGTTGTGTCTTTCCTCAGCAGCTGTCTTAGCCTGAGCTCCTGTTCCGTATTAGCACTGCTGCCTCACCTGCTCCATATATGGAGACGGGGTCTTTCCTTGAGCCTATAACCAAACTCTCCAACCACAGTAATGTATGCCTGTAGTGTCCTTTTGAAAAGGAGGTGCAAAGTACCAATATGAACGCCATTTGTCCTTTTAGCAAAAAACAAACAAACAAAAATACTCTATGAATCAAAACCTATCAATTATAAAATGTAACAGATTTTGTTTTTGTTGTTGTTTTTCAAGACAGGGTTTCTCTGTATAGTCCTGGCTGCTCTGGCTGTCTGGTTTGAGACCAGATGGGCCTCAAACTCAGAGATCCGCAGGAGATCTGCTGGCCTCTGCCTCCCAAGTGCTGGGATTAAAGGCTGCCACCACCAGGCTTCTTTTTATTGTTGTTTGGCAGTGCTAGGGACTTGGCTTCTCAAAGCTAGAAAGTGCTCCACTGAACCACTGAGCTACCTCCCTAAACCAAAAATGTAATATACCTAACTATTAGGAGCTGTACTCTTGGATATGGTTTTTGTTTTCTTTTTCCTACTCAGGATTACCCAAATAAATAAGGGACTCTGTAACTGGCAAACTGTACACTACCTTTGGTAGCACAAATGAATGCTAGCTGAACACATGTGAGAACTGCCCATTACCTGACTTCTGGCCCTGTGACCACAAATGGAAAAGTATTTTATTGAGCTTCCCTATAGTGGAGTGGAATGGAGAACGCATCCCGCTTGATATAAATGTCTATACCAAAAATAGATTTTCATTTGTTCAAAATTTTAAAATCTAGGTTCAAAATTAATGTCTCTAATAATAACAGTCAAAGTCTTGTTTCCTAAATTGTGACAATCGAACTATTCCTAGTCGAGTATGCATTAGATTTCAATTTATTGAAAACTGACATTGCTGGGTTTATTGAAAATTAAATGCCTGGTAGTTCATTTACTGAGATCCTCACCTCCTTTCTTTCATGTATTTGGATAAATATGATTATTCTGTCCAGATGTGACAGAAACATAAAAGTACGATACTCACACTTGGCGTACAGACAGTCCATCATGGACTGCACTAAGTCTAGTTTGGCTTTGATGGAAAAGTTGATGAAGTTGGTGTCAACAAGGATGTGGTATGGTGGACCCAGCTGTGTATTGTACTGGAAGAATAAGCAGGAGGGATGTTGGGGGCTGGAAGGAAAAAGAAAATAAGATCACAAGCTCAAGTCTGTATCAGTAATTTTGATACTAATGAAACCAAAAATGAAGTTATCTGCTTGAGAAAGTTCATTCAGGCAATTGTCCTTTCCCCTTGTTCATTGCAAGTCTGAGTTTAAAAGAAGTCAGGAAAGGACCTGAACAAGTGGCTCGGCAGTTAAAGTACGTCCTAGTGCTCTTGTGGGGACCCGAATTCAGTTTCTACACCTGACACCGTGTGTTCATAACTGCCTATAATTCCAGCTTCAGGAGATCCTACGCCTCTAAGCGCCAAAGACACCCAAACTCATGAGCACGTGCCCATATACAGACACACACATGCCCTTACACAAACACACGCCAACACATAGCCATTAAAAAAAAAAACCCATGTTAAATCTTTAAAACATGTTAATATCAGGCTCACAGGAAAGCTGCGACACAACTTTAAAACCATGATTTCCCCAAACCTACTTTTTCCTTGATCAGGACAGCTGTGGGGCACAAAGAGGCAGACAGTAGTTATCAGGATAGAATCAATCCTACAGCAAGTTTGCCATTCTCAAAATCCTAAATACTTGTATGGAATGTAAACAATCGTTTAGCATTCGGATCACATATTATACCAGAGCCTGTCACTCATCTAAAAACCCATGATGTTCAAAAATTGCTATGTGAACCAGTATCTGTGTGACAATAGAGCCTCTGTGAACCCAGAACAAAATACGAAAATGTGGTAAGATTTTTTCATAAAGTTAAATATACTAATATTAAAGGAATGACTTTCATCTAGAATATATAACTTCATCAATATAGTCTCTCTTTTGTGAAATTTTTTGGTGTGGCAATTACTTAAAAAAGATTTCTTTTTTTTTTTTGAAAGGAAAAAATTTTGTCCCCAATGTCACAGGGGAAGATTTAGTGCCCCATGGGATTTAGAGACCCCCAAAGCACTGACATCAGTGTATCCTGTCAATACCACTTTCATTTGTGTGTGCAGCATTGCTAGCAAATCACCATCTGACTGGCAAACCACTCGGCTCACAGGAGGCCTGGACTCTAACACAGCCAGGCTTTGGATCTCTTTACTTTAACGAGAACTTGACGTTTGCTCATACTCACACTTCTCTTTCCTTCAGCGCACTGGGATCCTTCTTCTCCTTCTTTTTAGGCTTTAATCTATCCTTCTCTTTACTGCAAAAAAGTAAATGTGGAGAAGAGGAAAAATGATATGGTGAAAATTTCATCTGGAAGTTCCAGCTTGCTGGGGCCGTCGCTCAGCAGTAGAGCACAGGATGTTTATGCATGAAGCTCTAGGCTCAATCCCTATCACCTCAAGTTCCAGTCCAAGGTCTTTTCTTTCTCTTTTATTCCTTCAAGGCATCAAAGCAATTCAGTTTTGTGCCTGTGATGCTAATATCAACAGATACTTTGACAGCAAGTAACTGTGGGAGGAAGTGGCTTGAAAATATAAGAATCAATCAATAAGGTCCATAAACCCCAAAAATGTTAATGAGTAAATTCTAATTATACATCAACTTTTTCCTTAATATTTCTCTTATCAGTGATTAAAATTTAATTCCAAGAGAGTAATGGAGGTTTATTATGATCAAAAGACATTATAAGAAACTTACTATGTATAATTAATATATGCTAATAAAAATCCACTTATAAGAGGCTGTGAAGAGGTTGATACTAATTTCTAAATACTTCTGAATATCCCAAGTAGGACCTGATAGCCTTCCCAGCACCAGGGAGGTAGACAGAGGTAGATAGCTTTCTATGAGTTTGAGGTCTGGTCTGTATTGTAAATTCCAGGCCAGTCAAGGCTTCATAGTGACACCCTGTCTCAAAAAGCAACAAACAACAACAAAAAAACAAAAAACCTCAGATAACCAGTATAGGGGCAAAATTTTCCCACATTCCTTATAAAGGCCTGAGACATAGCACACATATAAAATTGAACTCTTAGCCAAGCGGCAGTGGCATATGCCTTTAATCCCAGCACTCGGGAGGCAGAGGTAGGTGGATCTCTGTGAGTTTGAGGCCAGTCTGGTCTACAGAGGGAGTTTCAGGACAGGCTCCAAAGCCACAGAGAAACCCTGTCTCTAAAAAAAAAACAAAAAACAAAACCAAACAAACCAAAACCAAACAAACCAAAAACTCCTAATCACAAAGAAATTATCAGTGGGACATTATTCCCTAAAAATATACAATAAAAGTTCACATCAGAAGCTGAGAATAAAAGTTCTGAAGGCTTTAACAGCCATTCTCCTGCTCTAAGACTCTTAAAACACAACAAAGGCCAGTTTTTAATCTAAAAACTGTTCATCCAGTCTTTACCGATGTAGTGAAACTGACTGGGTCTTCTTCATCATGGGAAATTATCATTCTAGTTTCTTCTGACACTTTGAAATTATTTTTTTCTTTCTTTTTTAATATTCATTCATTCATTCATTTATTTATTTATGTTTTTCGAGACAGGGTTTCTCTTTAGCTTTGGTGCCTGTCCTGGAACTCACACTGTAGACCAGGCTGGCCACAAACGCACAGAGATCCGCCTGCCTCTGCCTCCCGAGTGCTGGGATTAAAGGCGTGCACCAGCACCGCCCGCCTAACATTTTGAATTTTTGTAATTTATAAAATGGATGTATCTTGGAGTTTTCCCTTCTCCCTTTGAAACTTGGGTGTCAGAAATTGAAAACTGAAGACAAGCATGGTGGGACCTCACCGGCTTTTCAACAGTGACATCATCCTCCCCACCCTCTAGAATGAGTGACTATAATTCCATGCAACATAGATCTAAGACATAATAAGTAAAACAAAAATAACAAGTTTTATACTTAGCCCATCACGATTTCTGTGTCTCTGATCAGTTTAAGAAATCAGTTGATTCTGGCTACTCACAGTCTCTCATCTCTGAGACTAAGCATTCGCTTCATGGTCGCATATCTTCTTGTTTTCTTTTGCTTCCCCTTGAAACGGAAATTTTTGAGTTAAAAGGGCTGGAAACACAGTGCATCCTTTAAAGTTTCCTTCTCCTATCTTTCTTGCCGCTTCTCCTTTACACAAACACAACCCAGACCCTCTCCCCACTCTGTAAAACATAGGTTCCTTCGAGCTAAGACCACAATGGAAAAAACAAAACACAAGGGAAGCTCCGAGGCTATATCTGGCCAAGTGCTGAGCTCCCATATACCCGTAAAGCCTTACGACAAATTTCCCACTCTCCTCACCATTTTCACGCCGCACTCCTGTTTCTTCCGGAATCACTTACTGCGCAACACTTTGACGTCATCCATATACTGCTTCCGGCAAAGGTCAACCCGGAGGCGGAAGTCACTTTGGGAAACGGAAAACCTCCGAACCGGCTTTTAACGCCGGTTGAGATCCAGACTGGGGAGTTTTGGGGGGCGGGTGGAGAGTAGGTTCTGTGCTGGATGCGGCCCCTGCCTCCCCGGACCCTAAAGCTAGGACTTGGCCACGCTGCAGCCCCAGTTCGGGTAACGTTTCCCTTCACGCCCCAACCGGAGACAGCCTAGCCGACCCGCAGGCACCAGAGTTCCAGAAGGAGAGCGAGAGAGGGGGACGAGGACAGCGGGGTCAGAATCCTGGGCTGCCCAGTAGTTTGCAAATAGTTTCTGTTTATCCTCCAGCGTACCAGGGCTCTGTAGTTCAGCCCGGAGGCTCTGCTTATTGCTTGGTTTTCCTCGTCGGTACCGTACTTCGTGAGGTTGGGTGGACGATTCTTCGGGAAGAGAGGGATGTAACAGCGCTTAAGGACCCCCCCCCCCCATCGTGAGTGTGTGTGTGTGTGTGTGTGTGTGTGTGTGTGTGTGTGTGTACGTACAAGCACTAGCGTGCAGGTGCATTCTGAGCAGAAGCCAGAAGAAGCTTGTTGCCTTTATCTTTCTCTCCACTTTTTGTTTTGTTTTGTTTTGTTTTAAGAGTATCTCACCGAATCTGAAACACTCCCTCTTTTCCCCCTGTTTTTCGCTAGATTGTCTGGCCAGAAAGCCCCAGAGATAACTCCCGTCTCTGCCTCCCAGCACTGGGATGACAGACACATGCCACTACCCTAGCTTGTTTTCTGTCCAGGTCCTGGGGATCCAGACTGAGGTCATGCTTGGTCTGCAAGCACTTATTCACTGAGCCAACTTCTCCAGTCGCAGCGGCCTTCTGTCGATGGTCACAGGAAGACAGGTGCATAAGTTTGTTTGTGCAGCTACTTATACCACGCCTCGAATATAGTTGGGGGAACCATAGATATTTGTTATGAAACCTGGTGTGCCGTCCTTCACGGGAAAGGGAGGATTTGTGAGAACGAGAAAGATAACTTCTGGGGTGTTCGTTTTAGTTTTCTGGTTTTTGCTTTTAGAACCTGCTATGTTTTCTAGTTATTCTTAACCATTTGGAGAGAGTTCTTTTACTCCTCGAAAGTCTGTGGAAAGCCAGGGACAGTTTTTCTGAAAATGGCTGTGTGTGTGCATGTACACACACTTTGACATGCTGCTTATGAGACTTCTAGACTATGTAAACATCATTTCCTTGGCACTTTGACCTCCATATACCCCCCATATCTTTTTTTTTTTTAATTCTTGATGTTGAAGCTGTGGCCTAGACGCTCAGAGGTCTGTTTGGTTCTAAAAGCTTGTGTTTTTCTTAGTGCGTGATGATGACTTAGTGTTACTGGGTTAAAAAGATATTCACAGTATAACACTGCAAGACAGTGCATTGGTTATTGAATTACGGAGTTTGATTGGCTGCAGTTTAAACCCTTTTATGTTGCTTGCTTGCAGTGTATTACTTTGGGCCATCAGTTGGTGCCTCTGTTTCTTCATCCATAAAGCTAAGATACTCATCATAGTACATAGTATGGAATGCCACCAGGACTTGTGTTTTCATACTCATTAAGTCCCTAGAAAGCTTACCATTAAATAACTCTTTTAGCTGGGCAGTGGCTCAGGCCTTTAATCCCAGCACTCAAGAGGCAGAGGCAGATGGATCTCTGTGAGTTCGAGGCCAGCCTGGTCTATAAAGTGAGTTCCAGGACAGCCAGGACTGTTACACAGAGAAATCCTATCTCGAAAAACAAACAAAACAATACACACACACACACACACCTCTTAAGTGTTCACAGTCATTTCATGTCATGGTTTTCCAACTTGAAATGTTACGCCACTTACATGTTAATATATTTGTACTATTTTGAAACTTGAGCATATTGGTAAACCTCAGAAAACTTATTAAATTTTCAGGTTTCTATAATGGATCATTTTGAGTTGATTTGGTTTTAGAATTGGTGTCCTTCCTTCTGTTCTTTTAGCCACACATGGCATTCAGATCGCTTTATAGTTCACATTATTCGTGTGTTGCAAATTTTTGGTGTTGAAATAGTTTCGTTATTGACACATCTTTAGAGATTGTCGGTACCTTTTGCTTTACCCCCAGGAAATTACTAATCTTTTCAGAACTATTTGCCTCTGCCTAGCTGTAATTCATGGGTAGAGTTAGCAGCAGCCACATTTTTTTTTTAAAAAAAATGAAACATGTTAGTGATTAGGCATTTAGCCTAATCACTTTACTTTAAGTAAACAGGATCAGTTTTTGTTTTTAAACCTATGGAGATTGATTAGAAGTGTGCGTGTGTGCGTGTGCATGCCTGTGTGTGCAAGTGCCTGTGTGCGCTTGATTGAGGGCACTTGAAGAGAAAATTGCAGCTAGTTAAATAGTAATTTGCATTTAAATGCAGGCCCTGACAGAAAAACCCTTTCCCGTCAGTTTGAAATCCATGAACTGGTTTTTTTTTTTTTTTCTTCCTTATTTCACATTAAAGCGGTTCGCAGTTTCTCTTCCGAGAACTTTCTGATCCCTTGATTGTTAATACTTGATAGGGAGCTAAATTAGTGTAGGAACACTGTGGGGGTGGACACAGTCAGACAAGTGTTTCTGCTGCATTGTAATTTTGTCATGATCGGAGACTCTTAAGGCCTGCGGTTAAAGCTCTCAGCTATTATATAGCATTCTTCGAGAGGGATGGAGAGAGGGATGGTTTGACTCTGTTGGGTGGGAGCAGAATGGAATTACTTTTGACTGCACACTTGTGAGGAAAAGAATGATTTTAGTCCTTCTCAGTGGTTCAGAGGCCCCTGTGTATTTTCTGCATACTGAAGAGCAAGAATCTGTGAAGCCGTTGAGCCCACAGTTTGGATACTTAATTGGACTTGAATTCCATTCTTCTCACTCATTGGTCTAAATAGATGTTTAATAAAATTATGGCTGGTGGAAGAGTCCCTAGAGAAAGTCTTGTATTTCAAGTTAATTTAGAAATATGATTTCTAGCTTCAAACACAGTTTTACACTTATACTTATGGTTCATATGTTGTTTCCCAGACAAACATTTGTTGCTGTCCGTTACTTTTTAATTTAACTTGATTACTTTTAAATGAAGCAGCGGGGCTGGAGAGGTGACTTGGTGGTTAACAGACCTGGCTGCTGTGCCAGTGACCTGAATTTGATTCTCAACACCCACATCTGCCAGCTCACAACTGCTATAACTTTAGCTTCAGGGGATTTGATACTTTGTGGCCTTCATGGGCTCTTGAGATTGTTTGAAAACAGAGCATACACATAAAATAAAAATTAATGCATCATGTTCTCCTAGGTCTTGATGTTGCATTGGTTTATATGACACTTCAGAGGTATATTACTACTACGTATTTATTCACAAGGCATTTATTTAGAGCCCATTCTGTCCCAGACAATATGCCTGTTACTAAAAAAAAAAAAACCAAACAAAAATAAACAAAAATCCTCAGGCTCTGTTAAAGAATAACTTGTAAATAAGTAAATATTATGGAATATGGTCAGCTAGAGGTATATAAATTCAAATACTTTGGAGAAATTACTGTACATGTTCATCTTCCTGGAAGGATCTTGGTTAGAGTATTGTATAATATTTAATTACTGCAATCAACATAGCACAAATATTAAGAACACAGAGACAGATATTGGAGTTCACTCTGAAGATCAGAAAAACAAAGCAACCAGTCACAGGCTTACCTCTGTCTCAAACCGAAATGGCGATCCTGCCTCCACGAATCCTCGGAATGAGACTGAACGTAAGACTTGTCTCCTCCTGTCTTATATTCCTCTCCAGTGCTGGGATTAAAGGTATGCACCACCACTGCCCAGCCTCTATGGCTACCTAGTGTGGCTGCTGGAATTAAAGGTGTGCGCCACCACTCCCAGACCTGTCTGTCAGACTAGTGGGGCTGTTTTGTACTGACCTCCAGGCAAGGTTTATTTATGAAAACACAAATAATATACCGCTATGTGCTAGTGAGTTCTACTATATTATTTTCCCTCTTTTTTTTTTTTTTTTTTTTTTTTACAGACAAGGTCTGGTGTGTCACAGGCTGGCCTTGAACTTGCTGTGCAGCTGAGGGTAACCTAGAACTTTGTTTGTTTTGGGACGGGGTCTCTCTCCTTAGCCCTGGCTGGCCTGGAACTCCCAGAGGTCCTGCTGCTACTGCTTCCAGAGTGCTGGTATTAAAGGTGTGCTCTACCATGCCCAATCAACTAGAATTTCTTGATCCTCCTACTTCAGTCTCCTGAGTGCTGGGAGTCAGGTGTGCAGCACCACACCCCGTTCATGCTTTGCTGAGTGAGGATCAGACCTTATATTAGGCAAGCCATCATTTTATCTTGTAAATGCCTCTAGCCATTGATTATCTTAGGTTTAAATGTAAGCTATTATTCTTTGGCACCATTTTATTTGAATGGATATTAAATGTTTAGCCTTCAATTTTTTATATTAGTGTTTCCAAACTTTTGAGGTGGTTTACATATTGTGGTGCATGTGTGTACGTGTGTTCATATATGTGTGTACTTACAACAAATGCATTGGTTTTAGTGCAGTTTGCCTGTTATTGTTGAAATGCTGATATTAATTGTATTTTGTGTTCATTGTACTTTCTCACCAGAGAAAACAATCATTTAATAATAAGCAACATCATTTTCTGTAATGTTATAATAGTGTTTATATACTTCTTAATAGTTAGTAATAGTCCTTAATAGTACAGACCCCTCAGTTTTCTACAGAGATCTAGCCGAGGTTATTTTAACCTTCATCCACTTTGTGAAGTTCAAATGCAAAGGTAACCTGGTGTAAATAGTAAAGCTATTTGGAAGAGAAAGCACCTGAGCCCTCTCAAGTGTGAAGCAGTTTTCACATTTTGGTAAAGAAGGCAGTGCAGATGAGCAAATAGTATGTAGGAAGGAATAGAAAAGTATCTACTAGGGGTTTTAACCTTCCACTGCTTAC